CGATACAGATCGCCTAGGTGAATTGATTTTCATAGAAAAATCCAGGTCGAGAAGAAAACTTCGCCGTGGTCTACAATCTACATTAATGTTGTCCAATTGTTTAAACTTTAAAGATGAATCTGATTCTGCATTTAACTTTTCTGTCGACCAATTCGGTTCATCCTTTCGATTTCTTCTTACTTGTGACTGCGCACTTGAACTTGTCGTCTGTTCAACAGATGACTGCGCACTTGAACTTGTCGTCTGTTCAACAGATGACTGATTACCATCGTCAAACGATGATTCGATAATCACAGAAGGTATAGCTGACGTGGTCGGTTCTTCTGATGACCATTTCGGTCCTTCATAAGCGATCCATTTACTCAAACTTGAAATAAATGTTTTGGCATACACTTGTTCTACCCAATGTTTGGGTAAGTTTTTATAACCATAGTAGGCACCAGCTAATTGACCATAAATGGCTGCTGTTGTATCAGTATCGTCACCTAGATTCACAGCAGCGAGAACACCTTTTTCGAAATCTTCTTTGTCGGACCAAAATGCCCATAAAGCAGCTTCAAGAGCATTGACGATGTAACCATTACCTCGAATGCCTTCATCATATCCGTCTTTCTTATAAGATCCCTTTGCAATTGCTAGAATATCCGGATGGAGAGGTTTATTATCGAACCATCTCTCGTGTTTTGAATAAAAGTTATTGTCGAGTAACTGTCTTTTCTTTTCACCACGAAGAGCAGCCACAATCAGAGCACCATAGTAGCGACAAGCATCATAGGCTTTTTGATCACCATGAGTAATGCGTCCACTGTGTCCAGAAAACTCGATAGCTTTAACAGGGTATCGATAAAAGAATAGTGGCACAGGAGCTAGCCGCATTAGTGCCCCATTACCAGCTACACCTTCTTCACTGCAATACACGTCGAACTTATTCAAAAGTGTAGGATCTGAAAGATAATCTAATTGATTAAGAGGAATGTCGTGCTTTTCCGCAAATGCCTTTTGACGAGATTCAAATTTTGTCAAAGCTTGTTTCGTGGCCGAACCCATATCAAAACAGTAACCTATAGAGGACATGTAACCTTTTCGATACCACCACTTGTAACGAACCATTTGATCGTAAGGAACATAATTGCATCTAGCTACCAATGAATTTGCAAGACAAAGAGCCATAGAGGTATCGTCAGTGAACTAAAGCATACATATCTCGAAAACTATGGAAATACAAATATGAGAATTACTCTGATCATGAATATTATTCACAAAACATAGAAATAAAATTCATTTTTCTAGACAGCTATACAATTTCATATTCTACTCCTCTTCTGCAGACTATACAGTACTTCTAACATGAGAAATTCATTTATTTAACTGTAGAATTAGAAAAAAATGAACACAAATTTCTTTTTTCGATCTAAGAATGAGTTTCATCGAGTGAGCACATTGCTGACAAGAAGTTTAGAAATAATCATACCGAGATTTATAGCTATGGAACTGATTCTTCAGATCTCATCTAAACTATAGCATTTTCTAACTGAATAAAGACAACATATTCATATGAATGGAAAATACCTCTCCTTTATTGAGACCCCAAGTACCACCTGCTTGGAGATCGGTTACCGGATTTTTAAGCAGATATTGATGAGATCGAAATTCTACATAAGCACCTAGGGCATCACCTAAAGCCATTCCAATCATCGAACCATGAATACGATCCAATATAGTACTATCGATATTTTCGGGTGGATCTATCATATATTTTTCGAGTTCATGAGGAATCATGATCTTTCCATTTGAATTATATTGAAGAACGAGCCATGATTTGTCTAAGAGACACATAGATGAATATGAAAAATTATTTTATTCAATAGACAAATTTTATATTGTACCTGTTCGGAATTGACATGAAGGATGTCTTTCGGATTGTTTAGCCATTTCTAAAATAAAAATACATGAAATGATGTTTAGATCATTTTTATATTCATTGTTTATGAAAAATGAATAAGCCGTATTACGCAATAATTTAAAATTTTTTATATATTAATACGAAATTATTTAATTTTTATTTAGTTACTAAAAATCTTAATTTATATTTGTCAATATTTAAAGTGTCTCTAGGAAAAATATTGAGATAAATTATTCGGTTTTTTTAACTCACCTACTTTAGCTTTAGAAGACAATGAAAAATTAAAAGTGCTTTTTATTGTGACTTTTCTTACAACATAACCTAATTCATTAACAGTACATGAATATTGGTGTGCACTGTACGTATATGAAAATATCCTTTTTCTTGAACTCGACACAAATAAATACACAATATCAAGACAATAGAATCGAATGATAATTCCTCTTCGACATTAATTAAGATACAATCATACTTACATAATGACTGGGTCGTTTCCCTGTTGTCTATATGATACGTACGTTCGTTATCTTACGCAAAAGAAAAATTCACTTCAGTATATTTTTGACAAATAGGGACTGTAAACAAATTACATTAATGTTTTCTTTAGCTTCTCATGCATGACAAAATAAATCGTCTATGAAAAATAATGTGTCATTAGAGTACAGAAAAAGCAAAGTAGAAAAAATACAGACGTCACACCGTGATAATGTTATGAAAAAGAATGGTGAATTACACCTAGTGATAAAAATTATATGATAGAGAAACTTAAACACATGGTAAAAGAGAACATCATTATTTTTCGTAAACTGTTCCGCAAAGAAGTCTCAACTGAGAATAAAGTATCGATAAGATTTTTATTGCAAATGCATAAAGTACAACATCAATATAACATATACAGTCAATTAAAGTCGTGAGATTTTTATGTATCGATAAAAAAAATATTAATATTGACAATTAAATTCAACCAAAATGTAATAGTAATGAAATATTGTTCACGATTGTATTGATTCAAAGAAAAATTAATTATATTCGCATGAATAGTATTCTCTTTTACAGCAGACTTTAACAAAAAATACTTATCATGCTGAAATAAAGATACAGTGAATCATACATTATAGACTGACTCAAACAAGTACAATAAAGATCACGAGTCGATCAACTCTACCTTATTAGTTTCAATCAAATGAACTGTTGAAATAGTTCTTTTGATAACAACTAATGAATTTCAAGTTATCTATAACTTTTTGAGAGCTAATTCAGACTGATACATGTAAATTTTCAACGGCTATGTAGCTCTAGAATCTATAACTTTTCATCGTCAATATACATATGTTATCTGCAACTATCAAGAATGTCTCTTGCATAATTATTTGAATGTTAACATCTGTAAATTGCTAACGAATGTATCAGCACTCATTTTGTTTTTACATAAACAATTTAGTATATTTGTTCTAGGACATTTAATAAAATTTTCTTTTCAACGAAATATAGTACTTTTTCTCACGTTAGTATATATCGGATGGTTCATAAATAATCGATTACATAGTATTTTTCTTATATTTTAATTCAATACCATTGTCAAAGCTTTGATTTTTACTGCATCAGATGCGCCATGAAATTCTCTACAAAATGGTATATCTTAATTCGTTTAAGTCATCTAGATTACAATTGAAGTACTCAATATATTTGTTTACTTAAAAACTGTACACTTGGTACTAGTGTGAAATCGAGTATTTTAACTCAATTGTTCACAATTTGGAGAAAATTGTTTTGGATTTAAAAAAAAATAAGCCGTCGATTTACTATATGAAGCCGTAGTATTGTAGTCGAAAGAACTTTTTACAAGTTCATATATAAAAAAGGCTGACATGATTTATTTCTCAGGAATAGAAAAGACAAATTCTATCGCGTCAGTGCAATTCATGAGTTTTGAAACCAGAATCTTGGCGAAATTTATGAGCGTTTCGTAAAGTCTCTAAAATTGCCTAGAAATAAGTCGTATCAGCCTGTTTCATGTATGAACTTGTAAAAAGTTCTTTCGACTACAATACTACAGCTTCATATAGTAAATCGACGGCTTATTTTTTTTTAAATCCAAAACAATTTTCTCCAAATTGTAAACAGTTGAGTTAAAATACTCGATTTCACACTAGTGCAAAGTGTACAGTTTTTAAGTAAACAAATATATTGAGTACTTCAATTGTAATCTAGATGACTTAAACGAATTAAAATATACCATTTTGTAGAGAATTTCATGGTGCATCTGATGCAGTAAAAATCAAAGCTTCGACAATGGTATTGAATTAAAATATAAGAAAAATACTATGTAATCGATTATTTATGAACCACCCGATATATACCCATCACATTAAATGAACTCAAGTCGAACTATTTCTCTCATCTATCATAAATCCTTTTTCAACGTATAGTGTACGATTGAAAAAGTATTCAGAAAGTTATATAGAATGCCAAGCAATAGTATCGTATACTGTCGTTAAGTTCAAGACACAACTTCAATGATCATCTAAAGGTATTCAAAAAGTTCATTCAACTATACGCTAATTCTAGTGGATGTACTGAATTCAAGATATCCAAGTATTGGATCAGCTGACATGAGAATACTTTTTTGAGTGTAGTGTAGGATCTTGTTTGGATATTCTGCTGAGAATTGTCTCAATACATGGGTACTTACCAGATACCTGCCTAGTTTCTGTACTATTCTATGAAACATTTTTCAACAAATTATTAGTAGATTGAATATTTAAAAGCATTTTGTAGTCAAATGCTAAAAGCCTGTAAACTATTCTAAGATACCGAAGTACACAAAAGTTTCTGTGACAAACTAGGTGAGCTTTCAGTTAATCTTTAGAAAAAATTTACTTCTATATCATCAATCAATTTCAACACTTTAATATTCAGCAGTTGTTTTAGATCGATAATTATTTTCACGATCTTTGAGATAAAACTGATATGAGAGTTTCATAGATGTCAGTATTGTATAATGGAATCTCTCTATAGTGATACCGTTGGTTATTAAAAACAAAGATCCGCTAATAACTATTTTTTACTCGTTTGTTTTAATAATTCATAAATCAAAATGCTTCAACCAAAGAAAAAATCAGTTTTTCAAACATTAGAAATTCAATTGTATGTATGATTTTTTTTTCATATGCTTATTATTTTTCATATTGTTTTATATTTAGTAAAAATCTTTCATTAATGAATAATAAAGATTCTTTCGTACTTGATCGTGCAACAACATGTTCTAATTGGTTTCGTTTATGGTCTTCATTTGGTTTTAATGAATATCAATGGTTATCACGTGCTGTAAAAGTTGAAGAATATAGTCAAGTAATATTCAATTCAAATTTTTCAAAATCTTTGCTGATAGATCTTTTTCTTTTAGAAATTGCTTGATAATAAAATATTAATATATAAAGAACAATTAATAAAACGACGACAATTAATAAAACAATTATTTGATGATTATAAAGATTTACTTGAACGTACTGGACTTTCATCTTCCATAGACGTAAAAAATAAATTTAATTTTTGTTTTTCCTTTATTTTTTTTGTTCGATTTTGTTTTTTGTATGTAGACTTCAGTATTTGATGGATTAAAATTAAAAGAACAAGAAATATATATTGAACGAGAAATGCAAGAATTATTAATTCATGAAGGACAATTAATTCATCGACGAAATGAACTTGAAAATCAAGAAAAATATTTATGTACATTACTTAATACTGCATCCATTGAATTTGATCAAAGTGAGTGATCTATGATTTTGTTTTTTCTTAATTTTTATTTCAAAATTTTCTTTCAGATCTTTCAATTTCACTTGTAGAAATCAATAAAAAAATGCAAGATCATGTTAAAATGCTTAGTGACTTAAAAGTTAGTAATGAACTAAAATTTTACATTTGTTTTTTTGTTTTCAAATAAATAATTTTTCTTAGAATCTACGTTTAATTCAAGTATCAACATATTATTTAAAATTAAAAGAATATTCTGAACAATTAGAATGGACACCATCTTCACCTAAATCAACTGTTCAATATCTTCTTCTTGAACAATTTGATCGTTGTCTTACTGCTGATTGTCTTAATGAAATCGAATCAATAATACATCAAGTTAGTCGTATTGTTTTGTTTTCTTTTTTGATTTCGTTGAATCTTTTCTATTTAAAATTTTATTTAGTTGGAAAATCAAATTGAAATTCAAAAAACACGTTTTTTAAAATTACATAATCAACTTCATCATCTTTATCAATGTTTAAAAAAAGATCCAAATAAAGATTATTGTTTAGCATTTAAAACTGGAAGTGAACATATCAATGAATTTATTATTAGACAAGTAAGAAAAGAATTTTAAATAAATAAAGTATATTTCAGATATTTTCAATCTCGATAAAATTATTTTATATGTAAATAGAAAATAATTCCTAATTGAATGTAAATCTTTCCTCGCAATAGAAGAGTCTCTTTGAAGGAAAGATGCATCAGATGCTATAAAAGACCCATCTTAATTAATTGATTTTTTTCGAAAAGTTAGAACTTTATTTATTATTGGATTGAAAAAAATAAAATATCCTGCGTCTTTTTGAATAACTATGCAAGACAAAGGGATATCGAGAAACGTTTTTCGCCCACTTGTAGTCAAGTCTAGAGCATGTCGAACATAAATAATAAAAAATTTTCAATCTGATTTCTAGATGATTTTCAGTAGGATCTTTAGAAAATCGAGTTATAAGAATTTTCTAGAGGTTTTCAATTTTGTCTACTTGATCCTGATTCACCAGAAAATAGGTCCAGAAAGGAATGATCGATGATGCCGAGTCGAGTAATGATGTTTGTTTTCAGTTTAAGAGAAATCTAGTACCATGTTTCTCAAAATGTAAGCAAACATCATTACTCGACTCAGCATGATCGATCATTCCTTTCTGAACCTATTTTTGGGTGATCCAAGATCACATAGCCAAATTCGAGAACCTCTAGAAAAGTCTTATAACTATTGAACAGTACAAGTTAGAAATATCGAGTTCCTCTATCGAATATACATTTTAAAGATGAAAATTCAATGTTGGATCTCAGAAGAACATTATGATTTTCTAAAGATCGTTCTAAAAACCTTCTAGAAATTCTATCAAAAAAGCGTTTTTTTTATTAGTATTCGGCGTGCGTCAGATTTCACTACAAGCAGACGAAATACGTTTCTCAATATCTTATCCATCGTGCATAGTTATTCGAACAGGCATATGGTATCTTATTTAGTCAATCTTATAAGAGTTTATTTTAACATCAGTGTTTTTTTGATAATAGTACAAGAAATGTGATATTTCGTTTTTCGAAATCGATTAAGAAAATTGTTTTCAAATTTTCTAATTAAACAATAAACACATTTTTCATTAAGTAAAACTATAGTAGAAACCAATACGTATGTATATGTTTGTTTGACTTACTTTTGTCGAAAATAGGTTACAGAAATAAAATATCATTAATAAAAAGAAACAACTAGGTAATTCTTTTTCAATAAGAAATACATATTGGAATTTAGTGACCTTCATTTTTATATTCGAATACTAAGCATCTCATAAGTAAAAATGAGGTACTCTGATATTCTGAATAGATATTACATTGCGTAAAGATGCCAACAATCAAGATAAATAATTATTAGTTTTGACTGTATTATTATTATTTAATGAATTTCTAAAAATTCAACATCACATTCTTGTTTTTCTTTTACTATTATGAAAAAAAACTATTAGTAAAATTCCTGCGGATTTAACATGTGACATAAGGTATAACTACTGTTACTCATACCTGAGAGATTGTTTTATTCTATCTATTTCGGGATACATTTCTTCACAATCCTTTTACTTAATACTCCGAAAATGCAATAAGGAAGTAGTTCATCTATTATAATGAGACATTATTGATATGCAGTCAAAGACTGTACGACAAAAACGCCTATCACAGTCTATGACGTTTCTAGGATTATATCTGTAATGCATTGTTGCTAAGATATCAATCATGACTGTGATGAGCCGTGTCTATGACATTCGGTTGATCCCGTATGTCATGATTTGTAAAAGAGAAAGGATGCAAACTGCTACTTTGTATTCTTCAGCATCCCTTTTAGATTATGTTTCATAAAAAAAAAAAAGATATTAATCAATCTTATGCCATCTGAAATGTATATGCAAATATTCGATGTTCCTATATAAATGCATTTAGTTGAATATTATTCTATATTGACATATGAATTCATTTTATCTTGATCGAAAATGTCTGAAATATTGTTTAAATGAGAGAAAGAATTTTCGACTTAGCTTGAACATGAAATTGCATGTTGTCGAGAAGAACGAATGAAAAATGGAAAAGAATATTGTCATTCAATTCATCAACAAATTATTGACTTATTAGAAAAAGCACATGTTGGTGATGATGAACGAGTTATTATTAATAAACTTGATTTTGGTAAGAGAAATATTTTTGGGTTTTGTTTTTGCGTATTTTAGTTTTGTTTTAATTTTTATTCCAATAGAAAATTTATCATTAGATTTATTTGATGCATATGATATCGAATTAGAACGTATTTCACAACTTTATAAAAAACGTCAACCAGTTCTTGATGCTTATAATAAATGGCTTTCATTTTGGAATGAATTTGTTGCATTTATAGTTTGTTTTTTATTTATTTAAGTTTCGTTTTTTTTTTCTTTATTGAATTATTTAGAAAGCATCAACTAATCCTGGACGTTTTCATATACGTGGTTATAATGCTGAAATTGAAGGACGTCAACGTAAAAAATTTCATCGAGAATTGCCGATTATCGAACAAGAATTTTTAAATATTTTATCCGAACATAATGATCCATTATTTATGTATGATAATGTACCTATTCGACAAAAATTTGATGAAGCTCATCAACAAGTACCATCTATAGCTATGCCATTGAATACACCTGGAAGAACTCCAACAACATCACGTCTACTAGGTCTTACACCAGTTCGATCGCGAACACCAGTGACTACTGTATATTGAATATCTTTATCTATTTTAATTGATTATATAGAATTTATTTTTTATAGCCCTGTCGAATAGTCAATAAAGAACCGTTTGTTCTTGGTACAGCAGTAACATGTACAGCACGACATGCAGTGAAAACACCAGCAGCTATTATTGCAAGAAAATTTTTGAATAAAGTAACAAGTCATACTGTAGGTCAGCCAGCTCGGGTTAAACCACGTCCTCCTCCTCCACCTTCCTCTTCTTCTCCTCGTTTATTACAATCATCACCACCACCATCAGTTGCCACTAAATTACCTATTCATCCACCAGCATGCACAGATGATCAACCTTTGGATTTTTCACTTTTACATACAATAAAAAATGTTTATGGTGAAATTAAAGTAAGAAAGAGCCAATAGAGATAAATAGGAAAACAAAAATCATCGTATTCTTGTTTAGATAATGACATCAACTCCGAATTCATCTTTTTTAAATATGGAAAATTATCATGGAAAAACAGCATATAACACAATTGGTCAACGTAAATCTAAAAGACAATCAAAACAAACATATCTACCATTACTTGTATGTTTTGTTTCCTTCTTTTGAATATCTGATGAAAAATTTATCTTTAGGTGATTCAAGATACAAACGACGAAACAATGGTGCGTTTGTAATATGTTGCAGTTGCTCTTGTATATTTTTCTTTTACTTTGTGTTTATCTGTGCTTATTAATTCGAAATGATAGTAGATAAAATATTTTATTGACAATAAAAGTAAAAATCAAATTAGCCAATTTATGATTTTTCGACTCACAAAAAGTCTTTACTGTAACATGCTCAAGAACTTTAATCATTTTTGATATCATGCATAATAATTCATACAATGATACTAATTTCCCAATTCAATCTATCATTCATATATTTCAATATTTTTCTAACATAGATTATTTCATTATTCTTTCTTTTTTATTTAATATGATAGCATATCTAGCGAATATGAAACAAAAATCAATCTAATTTTAAATAACAATTAACATTTGACTATTTATAGTGTCCGAAATCGTACACGAACATATAAGCCTGACATAAAGAACAAATTAAAGAAATACAAGGAAATAGTTTTATTTGGATATAAGTTCACATTGGTATCAAAACTTGAACAGAGTCCTTGCTCGTTTAAAGTATCAGTCTCTTATTATCAAATGAAAAGTCGAAATTAGTTGTTGTAATTTTTTATCAAGAAGTTTCTGTTTAACGTGTTGCTTTAGTTTTACAAGTCTCAGCTTGCAGTTGTTCAGTCATTATCAAGTTCGTATGTCGTTTCATTTTCAAAACTTTGATAGATTCATAAATTCATATTTAATAGTTCGATACCAACCGTTAGAAGGCTGTGGGTTTGAGTCAAAAGAAGGCAAACACGTACACTCAAAACGAAAGAAACGTTTATATAAATTTCTTGATAAAAACATCACAACAACCAATTTTGACTTTGTATTTTATAATAAGAGACTTATACTTTACATGAGTAAGAGCTCTGTTTTCAATTTTTGATGCCAATGTGTATTTATTCAAATATAGCTATTTTCTTGTATTTCTTCAATTTGTTTCTTATGCAATACTCAAGTGTTGTTTCACTGTCCGAAATATCTCCTTTATCTAGAGAGAATCATTATTAGAATATGAGAATTTCTAAAATTCATCAACTACCATGAATATAAAATGATAATTTTTTTTTGCAGAGAAATACCTTTTCAGATGTTGTTCTGTCTAACTATTTGCATCTATCAATATCAATAATATAGAATGAATTGAAATCAACTAATTAGAGAACTCATTATAGTATTACATATCTCAGGTTATAAAACTTACACTGAAGTATGTTATTGCCAGGTCAATGCAGATACTTGTTATATGAAATAATATGCTAGTCGAGAAATTCTATTATTTATTTAAAATTGAATTAACGTCTGACAAAATGATCATAAGAATATCATTTTATCAAATACTATAACTGAAAAACCAAAAAAGCCGGAGGCTTTTTTTCAAACTTTTTTTTTTGGTATTTTCAGCTCACTGACCGTATATCACCAGTCAGGGCATCCGTTTTGTACTTTTTTTATACCATTTTTCAGCTTTTACCGTTTTTATGGTATTTTTATACCTTTTTCAAGTTTTTTTGTACTTTGCAACTCCGGAGCGTCGAACGCTACGCATTTCTTTTTCAAACAGATATATAAATTGTTTCAGATTTGAAGTTGTGCAATTACACAACATATTTACATTACAAGCGTATGCAGTATGAGGAAAAAAAAACAGAACAAGAACAAACTATATATGTGTCTGTGTTGTATTGGATAAGAAACAAAGCAATGTATGCTTCTGAGGCCTTAGCGTATTTATTATCGGTGTTGATCGTAGTAGATAAAAGAAAAAAAATGCATCTGTTATCTATTTCTTTCTTTACTGGTATTGAAACAAGTTTACCATAGAAATATTTGATTCAATTCAAAATCAAAATCAAAATAAACATATATTTTTTCAATTGCTTTAATTATCAGATAAGATTTCTATTGCTGATTCACAAATATTTCAATCAATTAGACAAAAGAAAGTAACATGTTGTGTTATGATAATATTTTGTTTCTTTCATATACTTTAGATCTATTATCTTTTCTTTCTAAAGGATGTAAAATAAGTTCTGATCTTCTCATTCAGAATTCTTTTCTCACATGTTTCCATACTGATCGAGATCTATTCTATGCTAGAACTTGAGCTTTCTACTTATTATTATTGTCATAGAGATACAAGTCACAAAATTTATAGAAAATTTCGAATAATTTTTAAGTTTAACAGATGATGAATAAAGATTTTTTTAGTGTTAGTATTTTCAATACATTGTTTTACAGGAAACTCTATCATCATCAGAAGTCTAGACATATTATCTCGTAAAATATGCATCAAAGTAGCTGGGGCAAAAAAATGCATTTCAGTTTTGTTTCATTGAGAGAAAAAAATCAATGGAAAATAACAAAAATATGTTATGTAGAACAAATCTGCAATATCTTGTTTCTAATAATATCTTTTTTCTTTAAGGCTCTAATAGTGAATTTGTTTGGTTGATTAACTGATAAGCCACTCGTATTATTTGTCAGACGGCAAAAAATATTTGCTAATGACCATACAATTTAGACTAGAGCGTGTTCTTTCAGAATATACGTTCATCTTGGTGCTTAAGTAATATTTCCATCTTATTTTAATCAAGCTTTTGCTAATTACATCATCTATTTAATATGTATATCCAAAATTTGCTAGTAATTTTTCTCCATGATTGTTTTTTTTATGTTAGAAATAAAAAAGTTTGTATTCCCTCGCTGTAATTTAATTAGCTATTTTTATTGAATATTTGAAGAAAAACCTGAAACGCTTGACACTAGAGGTTGCCCTTTCTTTTCCGAAAAGAAAGGAAAGAGAAGCTATGAAGTTAGATGGGTGTCGCGTGGTAAAAGTTTGTGTGACATATTATTTGTTTGTAAGATAAAGTTCTGAAAGACAACAATTCAATATTCTTCGATCATTATTTTTCTCTTTGTTCATGATATATGTCTCTTTTTCAATTGTCCCTCCTTTCGTATCAGACTATTTTTCACTTTCTTTTTCTCTCTTCACCTCAACTGTTATTCTTCTCATGTTCTCTTATCAGATCCCTTAATATTTATTTCTCATTATTTCTCAATCTTGAATCTATTTCAGACTCGTATAAATGCATGAGAAACAGTTCGTTTTATCTTATATTCTTGGTGAAAAGACACTACCAATAATGTTCTCTATATCTCATGGCTATTAATAATTTTTTTGGAGATACAAATCTTTTTTATTTTCAACGCTTCTTTTTTTATTTTGTTTTTTTCAAATTCCAACAGCAATAAAAGATAAACAGAAATATAGCATAGATAAAGAGGCAATAGATAGAAGACAAAATTATTTTTTCATTTTTTGTTGTTTATTTTTTCTTATTCATGTTGTTTCTTAAGACACATAGAAAAGTGAAGTACTTTTGAAGACAAACGACAATGACTTTTCTTGACAATATAACTCCAAATGGAAAATGAAGATTTACTAAAAGATGATGTTACCTGCATACATGAAAAGTGTTTTAACTCTTGAACAATAATGTTAATTATTCTCGATCTTAAATTGAATTTCTTTCTAACATCTAATACAAAGAAAAGAGAAAATGTGTCCTGCTAATCCCTTCTTTTTATAAGCAGCCGCTTGAAAGTTCATTGAAATTCGATCTGAAACAACGCTCAAAATTTTTCTTTCTAAATAAAATAGAATGAAGAAAGATTTAGAGTAACTGTGTGAAAAAGAAGTAGCACAAAGTGATGATGATGAATGGCTAAAGAATGATTGTAAAAAGATAGATGATTCGAAGTAAGAAAAAAAAAAGAATGAGGAAAGAGAAAAAATGGAGAGCCATTAAAGCTAAGGTTGTTTAAATAAGTATCCTATTCCATTTGCAATTGATAATATAAATTCTGCAAACAGTCGAATATTAAAAAATTTCAACTTTTCTTTCCTTTCTGAAAGCAAAAAGAAAATGGAAGTATCACCTCTACTTATCATTCGTTTTTTGTTTCATTTTGGAGTCTATGCAGACATGTTTATTGCTTAATGCAATTCGTTGAAGTGTTCTTCTCATAAGTCACGATGAAATAAACGAGTCAAATCACAAAACAGGAGATTGCACAAAAGAACGACGACAATCATTTCATTTACGTATTTTCTCCTTACTAAATTGTGTTGAATCTTTCAGATAATTGATGAAAGGAGAAAAATGCTTCTAATCAAACGCTACCTTTTTCTGACTAATTTTTGGAACGCCAAACTTTGATTGCTTGAAAGTTACTTTACAATCGGTCTTTAACTCTGTTTTCGTTGGGCTGATTCTAGGATATTTACAAGAGTATATAGTTTCGTATTTGAAATTGCGCACCAACTAAGCATCGTGGTAAGTTTTGTGCAATGACAAAGAACATATTGATGTGGTATACTAAGCATCATAAAAAAAATATTACAATAAGAAATGTTAACAAAAAATGATCTAACATCGATAGGAAGCGAAGATGAGCGTTTTTCCGATGATGAAGAGTACTGCACTTTATGTTTATAGAACATGCAATCTGTGATACATAACGAGAGAGTATTATCTATATACATTTCATGTTGAACTCCATCACAAGTAGCTATGACAAACTATTCCTCCGAAGCTTTCATATTTGCCTGATGAAAAATATTCTACCGAAACATCTTTCAAGTTGTCGAAGATAGATAAAGAATCTCTCAATTGGAATCAAATACGAAGTCTGAGCAGTTTCTTTCTCCTCTTTTAAGATATATCATTCGAAACGTATTTTGTTGTATGATGCAAATATTGCTGTTAATCGTTTATTGTATGCTCACCGCATTATTACATTATTTTTACAGCATCGTAACTAACCCAATAATATTTACAGTTCACATAAAGAACAGCTTTTCGTTTAATAGAACCAATATAAATCAAAGAGCAGAAATCAAGAACATCCATCACAGCCAAAACCCTGTCACTGCCGCTTTGCGATGATATTCAAAAAAAAACGCTTGGATTATCACTGCCATGGCTGTTCTTACGTAG